TGTGTGTGTGTGTGTGTGTGTAAAATAAAAAGTTCAAAGTCAGTTTTGAGAGTTAGGAAAATTTATACTATCAATTATAGAACTATCTCATTAGCTGAGTTCTTATGGATGTATACCTCAAACTATAATAATAAAGTTAGGTACCATGGAGATTAGAACTCATCAAGAACTGAATACTGAAAATATGTCCAAATCTAGTACTTACTCTCTTTCTATCATCCACACTCAGCATAGTCACTTTACTTTCCATCTTGTTCAAAAGAAATACAGAAAATAAAAACATGTTTCCTCTATCCTTTTGTTGAAAGTCTGAGGGTTTTCTTTAATGACACATGAGACAAGACTACGAAAAGAATAATTACACTGTTCTTGTCTCAAAGTATCATACTTTGTAAAATTTAAAATTTCATTTACAGTTATTTCTCTGGATTATTCTTCTATGCCTAAGCTCAAAGCTTTAGAACTAGTGCCCTCAGAGGACATCCAGTCCAATCTCCTCATTTTATAGTTGAGGAAACTGAGGTCCAGGGAAGTTAAGTGACTTGGCCAAGGATACATAGGTAGTAAGAATTAGAAATGAGATGTCAGGTCTTCACAACTACAAATGTTTTAAAAAGTAAACAAACTGAAGACAAAATGTTAATATTTCATGTCTCTTAGTAAACTAGAGGACTCAGATGGTGACTCAGAAAATGCCATTTTGCATAGTCACTATGGAAATAAAAGCCACATTTTAACCAAGGAAACTTAAATTTCCAATCACAAGGATTACTATGTTGTTTTGTTGACCTCTGAATTTTTTATTTCTTTTAGGAGAAAGTTTCTAAGCTTATTTTGGATCCAAATCAAGGTGAAAAACTTTAGAACTTTTTCTAGAATTTTACACTAAGTTAAAGCAAATATATTCCCATTTGCCTAGCATATTTCTACCTCTATCTTTTTCAGATGAGTGATTTATGTTTAAAGAACTAATCAAAACAAGAAGCAAAAAGCCCCTCATTTCACAAAGACATCATGA